ACCCTGAGCCCGGCCCTCGCGGCCCGGCCCGCAGCAGGGCGGTAAGGACCGGCCGAGGTCTCCCCGCAGCGCGCGCCAGCTGCCCCCGGCCGTCCTCGCGGCGCTTGGCGGCGAGTCCGTGGCCACCACGCGGAAACCGCTGGTACCGAAAGATGGTTCCAGCCAGGGGACCTGCCGGGTGACGTGAGCAAAGCCAGGGCAGAGTGCGCGCTTCTGAGCCTCAGGCCGCCCGCAGCGACTGTCACGGAGCCTGGAGGGGCCCTGGTGGGCGGGAGCGAGGCGGTGGCCCTGGGCGGTCCTGGGACTGCGCCCGCGTTTGGCCTGCCAGTCCTTTGGCCAAGGTCTGCGGCAGGAGGTGGCAGCACTGCAGAGCCTGTGCCCACCAGTGCGTCCAGGGGTGACCCTCCCAGTGGCACTGGGGCGGCCTTCAGGGCAATGCTTCCTGCAGGCTGCGGGCAAGCCCTGGTCCTCTCCCCCCCAGTGTGGACAATGCCCAAGCTACAGGGCTTCGAGTTCTGGAGCCGGACGCTGGGGGGGGCCCGCCACGTGGTGGCCCCCATGGTGGACCAGAGCGAGCTGGCCTGGAGGCTGCTGAGTCGCCGGCACGGGGCGCAGCTCTGCTACACCCCCATGCTGCACGCCCAGGTCTTCGTGCGCGACGCCAATTACCGCAGGGAGAACCTGTACTGCGATGTCTGCCCGGAGGACCGGCCCCTCATCGTGCAGGTGGGTGGCCTGCCCAGAGGCGCTCCCCAGCTGGGGCGAGCAGCACTGTCTTGTGCACCCCAACAGCCCTCCCGCCCTCCCTCGGGCACATGCGGTTACTTCGGAAGTTCTCCCACTAGCTCAGTCAGGTGCGGGGAGCGTCTTAACTAACGTGTCTCGCACTTTGTTAGGACAGGATAGTCGCACCGTGCACCCCAGGCCGTGCCCCATAGAGCTGGGCAGCAGGGGCCAGGGCCTGGTTTGGGACAGGGGTGACCCCATGTCTCCCCCAGTTCTGTGCCAACGATCCGGAGGTGTTTGTCCAGGCGGCCTTGCTGGCCCAGGGTTACTGTGACGCTGTCGACCTGAACCTGGGCTGTCCGCAGATGATAGCCAAGAGAGGTGGGTTCCCTGCGGGGCCCTGCCTGTCCAGTGGGCATCTCCCTGGGCCTGGGCACACGTGCGCTGGGGCTGTCTAGCACTGGCAGGTGCAGTTTGCTGGCTGGGGCCCCAGCAGTGCTGCATGCACACCTGCAGGGCTTGACCCTCCCTCCTGGGCCCCTTGAGGAGTCCCAAACCAAATGTCCAGCTGCCCCCTTTGAGCTTGGGCATGGACGAGCCCGTTGTGGAGCCAGTGCGCACGCGCGACCTGTGCAGGCAGAGGTGGCAGTGGCGCGCTCTCCTCGGTAGGTCACTACGGCGCCTTCCTGCAGGAGGAGTGGGACCTGCTGCAGAGGATCAGTGAGTCGGTCGTGAGCCCACGGGAGGGCCGGGAGGGGGCGCGGAGTGGGACAGTGGTCCCAGCTCTCCCTCCTGGGAGGAGGCAACAGTGACGACTCGGGCCCCCACTGGCTGCCATGCCCGGCCCAAATGTGTGGGACTGGCGGAGACATTCACCACCTGAAGGGGAACACGGTTCCCTTGGGAGCCGTCTCTCCTCCCAGTCCTGCTGGCCCACGAGAAACTCTCTGTTCCGGTCACGTGTAAGATCCGTGTCTTCCCTGAGATCGACAAGACGGTGAGGTACGCCCAGATGCTGGAGAAGGCCGGCTGCCAGGTGAGCAGCTTGCAGTGTGGGTCCAGCCCTGGGCTCCAGGACCAGGCCCAGACTTTGAGGCCCCCTCTGCCCTGGGCGCCTGCTGCTCCCTGCACCTCCCTTGTGTAGAGGAGGTGGCCGAGGCTTTGCCTGCACTGTGGAGCATCCTTGGGGCCTCCCCTCCTGGGAGGCAGTGCCCACCAGCTCTGAAATGCTGCCACCCTGAGCTCAGGCTCAGCTAGCGGAGGTGACCGGGTCACTGCTTGTCCCTACTGCCTGCGTCGGCCAGCACCCCAGCAGGTCTGGGCACATGGCCCTCTGCCGCTGTCATCTACACACTGACCGCACAGGCTGGGGCTCATCCCAGGGTACTGGGCAGGAATCACAGTGACCAGGGCAAGGCCTCTGCTGCCCCTTTGTTTTGCCAGCTTGGGCAGCCCAGAGTTGGGCCAGCCTGGAGCTGGTGCCTCCCTCACCTCGACCTTGAGCAGTGGGGATGTGTCTAGCTGAGGGCAGCTTCTTGCGGAGGCTGGCGTCCCCCAGGCCCAGGCGGCCGCCCTGCCCTGCCCTGCCCTACTGGGGAGCTGAAGGGTGGGGCTGAGTTCTGGAGCCGGCCGGCCCAGGCGGGAGGTCTGAGCAGCACGGGCATTGTCCTAGCTGCTGACCGTGCACGGGCGCACCAAGGAGCAGAAAGGGCCCCTGGCGGGAGCGGCGTCATGGGAACACATTAAGGCCGTGCGGTGAGTGGGCAGCAGCCTGTAGCCTTCAGCCCCTCGGGCTTCTTGGGGAGTGGCTGGCCCTGGGCAGGGCACTGTTGTGGGGCAAAGTGACGGGCATTTCTGTGCCGACAGGAAGGCGGTGGGCATCCCTGTGTTTGCCAATGGGAACATCCGGTGCCTGCAGGACGTGGAGCGCTGCATCCGGGACACGGGCGTGCAGGGCGTCATGACTGCTGGTGGGTGGGCAGTGCTGGCCATCGCTGTCCTGCTGGGCCGAGCCCCGCCAGCTCCCCCGGGGTACCCCCGCTTGGCAGGAGCACTCTGTCTCCCAGAAGCGCTCCACCAGATCCCCTCCCACTGCAGAGGGCAACCTGCACAACCCTGCGCTGTTTGAGGGCCGCAGCCCTGCCGTCTGGGAGCTGGCTGAGGAGTACTTGGAGCTCGTGCGGCAGCACCCCTGCCCGCTGTCCTACGTGCGCGCCCACCTCTTCAAGCTGTGGCACCACACGTGAGCTGGGCCTGAGGCTGGCGCCTGCGGGGGCTGGCCTGGGGGGGGGCGCCTGGCGGGG